AACGAGAACAGTGACTTCATGCGGGACCTGATGACATCGCAGGCTTGGCAGGACTTGACGCGCCCAAAAGGGAAAGCGGCCGAAGCCAGGGTTGAGAAAGCAGAGAAGCCCGGAACAGGCAGCCGATGCTAGAACGCTGCCGGCGTGCAGAGAGCATTCTGCAGCCTGTCAAGGTCTTCACCCGCAAGGCAGGGAAGTGCACCTAGCTGCAATGATGCCTGCGTGGTTTCAGATGGAGAAGAACCTCATCGACGTCTGCCGCAAACGTGATTTTCACGACAGGATGCAGAAGGAGGATCCGGAGGTGAAGTCTGAGCGGCTTCAACAGCTGCAGACTGCCTTGTCCAACCGACGAGAGCAATTTCTTCGTGGAGAGCACGCTTGCGCCTTCGTCCTGGGCCCGTCGATGCGAAGTGCTTTCATGCATGGGGAAGACGGTTTGGATGCCCGGCGGCAGTAGAGGAGTTGCAAGACCCCTGAACCCTATAAACTAAAAGACGTTTAACCCTGAATGTTAAACCCCAAACCCTAAACCGCACCGTTTTTTGGTATTTCAAGCTGCAAACTGCAAACGCTTCAACCCCAGACCCCCGGGAGGATCTAGAAAGTAGATCCCCTAATTGGGGGCCCTATACTACTAAGGGTACTTTATAGGAACCCCCATTAAGGGATCTACTTTTTGGATCCTCCCGGACTTGAGTGTCTGCAATTGAGTCTGCAACTTTTGCAAAAGAAGACTCGACCGAACCTCCCCCAGTCAAGGGCGTCGGCTTCGACTTTCCGGAGGCCTGGCAATGGTCTGTGTCCTTGGCCACCGCCTGGATGGAAACTCAAGGTCAGCCAGCTGCCCGAGATTTCGGCAAGTGGTTGAGTGGCGATCTTTTGCCTGGCAACGGCATGGAGCGCTTGTTGCGAGCAGTGAAGTCCGAAGACGATGTCCTCGAGTTCTGGAGGAAAGAACAGCCGAGCAGTGCACTTCTAAAGATCTTTTTGCGACTGAAGGCTCTGCGGCCTTCGCAAGGAACTTCAGAAAGCTGCTGGAGCACACTGTGCCGGCAGGTGACCCCAATCCGAAATCGGATGCAAGTGGGCCTCAAACGAAAGCTTTTGAATGTCGTGTACCATTGGCCGCTGCTTTTCAACCGACAGCCTCTGAAATGTACGCACAAGAGCTCTGCAGTGCCAGCATCTGTTTTCCATGTCAACGATGATCTGGTGAATGAAACCTCGCAAAGTCACGACTCGAGCTCAAGCAGCTCGAGCTCCGAAAGCAGCTCTACCTGAAGGTGTTGGGCTGTGGGCTGTTGACGGGTTCAATCAGTCTGCCACAGCAGGACTGTCTTTCCACTTTCCAGTTTCACGACTCACGACGACAAGCTCGGGTGTGCGAGCGGCAGGAGTAAGTTTGTCACAGCAACTCTCCCGGCGCCGCTTTTCAGGGCTCGGGTCACTGAGTCACTTCCTTTCGGACTTCGGCGGGGAATTACGATTTCAGGCATTATTTCGGGTTCGTGCTTTGCGAGTTTTGGGGTTTACTGGTTTCCCAGCTCGGCCATTTCCATTTCATTCAACTCAATAACCAGCCATCATCTCAAACCCTGCAAAGCTGCAGAAAACCAATACCACTACCCCGACTCCGACTCGACCCCGACCCCGAACTCCGAACCGAAGCCGCGACCGCGGCCACGTAGCAGTGCTACTAGTCCTAGTCCTAGTACTGGCCCTGGTCCTGGTGCCTGGCACCTGGTACTAACTACTAACTACTGGTAGTGCTGCTGGTATTAGCCTTACAACTGCTACTGCGCCCGCTACCGCTACTGCTACTACTGATACTGCCACCAAGACCAAAAATACAACTACCACTACTACTCTACTACTCTACTGCTTCAGTTCCTCTAAGCTCCCACTCAAAATCCCGCTCAGGTCCTCCTCTTCTTCCTACTCCTGGTCACCGGCCTGGTGTGGTGTCACGGTGTATAGGTCTTAAACCTGAATTTTATATCACCGGTCCTTATAGTTTCTGGTCCCAGACTATTTAATTCTCGAGATCCGGTCCTTAAAATATGCAATTAATTCTCCAGCTCCGGTCCTTAATTTGGGTCGCGAACCTTAATTTCAGGGCCCCGGGCCATTAATTTAGGTCCAAAAATTGAAGTCTCGAGCTCCGGTCCTTAATTCTGTGTCCAAACCCTAATTTCGGACCACAGGGTCCTTAAGAACGGGCCCAAACCTTAATTCTCGGATCGACAGCCTTAACATTTAGATCCCCGGACCATTATTTTAGGTCCCTAATTTGAATTCTGCAGCTCCGGTCCTTAATTTCTGTGCCCAAACCCTGATTTTGGACCACGGGACTGTTTTTTACACTGTATGTGTGTCAAAGTGAGCGCGTTCACGGGGCCGCGTTCTGAACACGCGTTCGGGCCGCGTTCAGCGCGTTCGCGTTCGCGTTCGCGTTCGGGGGTCACTTAGATAAAGACGCTTAGTCAAGATTTGAATTTCGAATCAGGTTTCGGGCAAGGAGTGTCTAGGGCTTCGGGCAGTCAAGGTGTTTAGGCGTTCGAGTCACATTTTTCGGGTTTCCAGGTGTAGGGGTTAGGTTTTAGGGTTTTAGGGTTTATAGTGGTTTAAAGTTCATAGAGTTCAGGGCTTAGGAGCTACCGTAGGGATTTTGGTACTGAATCTGGTGGCTCCCAGCGCCTCTCTATCGCCTTTGGCGGAAAATGGTATAGAAGGCGTGCTCGTCACAGACATGTGTTGGAGCATCGTCGAGAGTATCTCAGGCAAAGTCGTCCTCTGTAGAGTGCATAGGGACGACCCTGCGCCGTTATCACGGCAGTCCTTCAGTTTTGGGATGTTGCCGGGCTAGCCGAAGGACCTGGAAGTCCGTTTAAACCCAGATGTTCTGCCTATCTTGCTCTCGACAACCTTGCTCTATTCGAGCAACCACCCGAAACCGTGCAGGGCTAAACACTATAAGCCTCAAAGCCTAAATTTTCCGCTAGCTTACTCGAAACCCTGAATCACATTTCCTTCAGGCGTCCCTGCGCAACTTCAACGCATTGCAGCCTGCCCCACGAGGGGTGGTCCTGACGCGTCGAGACTTGTTAAAGCGGATGGTGCTCGCATGGTCAAAGGCTAGCTCTTAGGGCGCCAGATTTGTTGCGGTTGCGTGAGGCTCCGCCATTTGAGGTGCTGGGGTAACTAGCCAGGGCACATTACAAGGAGTACAAAAGTCCTAGGTGGCCTCGCACCACCCGCGATAGCTACAGTCCGATGTCGCGCAGCACACGCCGGACGTGTGTGGACGAGCGGCGGATGTTCCAAAGAAGCTGTTTTGTTTCAGCTGCAACTCTGCTTAGTGAGACCTGGAATTGTAATGCTTTCCGAGGGTTTACAGTGGTCTTACCCAAAGAACCGCAATCGTATATAACTAGGTCATACAAGAAAGCGTGCTATATCTCAGGACATCCTAAATTGAACACGCTAGTCCCCAACTCCATAATCGCCGGGATCCAAGGATTGGATGAAATAAGAGTCCGTCCATAATCCTGCCTACCTTCATCCTATATACTCTTTCTGGCCCCTGATACAAACGTCCAAACCTCAAAGCCTAACCCGAGATCCTAATCCCCCGATCATAAACCCTTGACCCTCCAGCCCAAACCCCAGATCCTAAACCCCAGACCCTACGGCCTAAACCCTAAACCCCGAAGCCCGTACTTAAAAAACAAAGCACGCCCTAAGCCCTTTGTGGGACTGTGCAGTTTTCAGGCTCGGGGACAACACCGGTTCATGAGGTAGGGGTCGAGCTTTAGAAGGTGTGCGGGTTCAGGGTATCTAGGGTTTAAGGATGTTTTGGGTTTGGGGTTTCGGGTTTGGGGTTTATCGTCCAGGGTTTAAGCATGTTTAGTACTTTGGGATTGAGGGTTCACGGTTTTGGGTTTTGGGGTGGCCCTCTGAATTAAGATTCCCTTGTGGGATCTGCTTCTCTCACTTTGGCAAGAAGGAGTGTTTAGGGCTTAGGCTAAGGGAGCTAAATCGAGAGAACGCGTAGAGGTAGAAGCTTCTAACAAAGGGGCCGAAATAATTGCCAATACTACTTGGGGGGCTCCTTGCTACAAATATAGTATAATGGGCCCCCCAAACCCTATTCTCACCATTAAGGCCCCTACTTTAGGCTAAAAGTTTTAGGTTTAGGGTGCTAGGCTTAGGGTTTGAGCGTTTTGGGTGTAGGGTTTAAGGTTCAGGGTTTTAGATTTAGGGCTTAAGGTTTAGGGTTTAGGGCATCGGACGGTGAACCCGAAAATTCAACGCTACAGCGTCGATGCCCCGCCGTTCCGACCTTGAGCCACACACCTCACAGCCAGAGCCTCAACCACTAGAGTAAATCCTACTTGAAGGCTCCTGGGACTTAGTAAGTAAGGTTATAAGTAGGATATAATTAGGATAACCCCACTTAGGGGACTCATAACCCCGATTATAACCTACTTACTAAGTCCCATGATGCTCTAAGTAAGCCTGACTTAGCCTCCGAACTCCTACCTTTCTACTTGGCTTGACCCCTCCGTTGCCCTTCCCCCGCCAAGCCCTAAACACCTAGCCCCGAGCACCGAAACTACTAAAACCTAAACCCGAAGGCTCCATGTGCCTACACAATATGCAGTATGTACTTAGGCCTTAAAGTAGTCCTCAGATGGCTTGAGCTTTTACTATATTGGTACATGGGAGTTTCCGAAAATATTGGACCTGAGTAGAGTACCCTAAACAGCAGGATCCTCATGATTATAAGGACCCCAAATAAGGAACCCCTTGTTTTCGGAAATCCCCACATGCAGCCTTAAGTCAAAGGGGAAAAGGAGGGACCCTTAATAAGGACCCCTACCCTATAATGGGCAAAAATCATGGGTATATAATAGCTATATTACGGGTATATACCTAGGGGTCCTTATTAAGGGTCCCTCCTTTTACCCTTGGACTTAAGCAAACATTTTCGGCAGGTTGACGTGACCCGGCTCAGAGTGCCCCTGGGCTTCGTTTACGGAGCAGCTAAGATCGATTCTACTTTCGCGGTTTACGGTTTCGGGGTTTGGGGTTTGGGGTTTGGGGTTTAGGGTTATTCAATAATTCAGGTTCCTACATTAGCAATTCTGGATGAACGCTAGGGTCTTCAGTTTTGGCTTTACATCTGGGATATTGGGAGCTGTCTGAATGGATCCTTTTTTGCAGGAGTCCCAAAGCCTCAAGTGGGTGGTTGTCAAAATTATGTTCCCTTTTTGGGTACCCCAAATAATGGGTGCTGCATTAGATTAAGGACCCAAAAAGGGACCCTAATTTCGACAACCACCCAAGTCGAAACCGTGGAGCCTCCGAGATCCGAACACCAAAACCTTATAGGGGCCAAAAAAGCAGCTAAGCATAAGCATTTTATAGGGATATCCCGACTTTAATGGGCTTCATGATAAGGGTTTTTTTTGGGGTATCCCTATCCTAATTTTTGCTTATGTGCTTTTGGGGGCCCTAAAACCCCAAGACACAAAGCCCCTCCAAACCCCCCCCCCCCCAAGGGCCCTTTAGTAGAGCTTTACTGGCCCTTAGTAGTGTGTATTTGGGGGTATATGGGGGGTCGAGGTAATGTCGGAGCCTGAGTCGTTCGTGATGTTGGTTCGTATACTTTAGTAGACCACCAAAGTGCTGTGCTACTTACGACAGCTCCCATGCTTTAGTCCCAAGCCTGTAAGCGCCGCCGTTTTTCAAGAGATGCACTAGAGTACGGGACCCAAAAAGCACATAAACATAAGCATTTTATAGGGATATCCTTACCTTATTGGGCTTCATTATAAGGGGGTTTATATGGGATATCCCTATCCTAATTTTTGCTTATGTGCTTTTTTGAGGCCCTATAGAGAACAGAACTTTTCAGGCTGGGTGCGAGCCCGAAGCACGGATGCAAGGTGGACCCCATCGTAACGGTGGAGACTTGGGGCCTTTAGTGGTTTACGGTTGAAGGTCATTTGGGCTCAGGGTTGCGTTTTCTTTTGGGTTCGGGGTCTTAGGCTCCTAGAGCCTGAACAGCTAGATGTTGAAGGGCCTCATTTCAGCTCTTTGGCCTTCGGTCTTTCCGGGAAGTTCTGAGCTTAGGTATGTCGGGGAGCTTGCAGTAGTTATCCGACACCCCAACCCTCCACGCACTCTTAATCCCTATATCCTTAAACCCGAAAAGTTCTGCGGAAAATTAACAGGCACCGAGCGGATGTGGATATGCTCAGGAGTTTTGAGCAGGATATTGGGTCCTCAGGGTGCCTGACTGTGAATCTTTTTCATGAGACTTGGAGGCGTTGTTTTTGAGGATTTACGGGTTTCCAAAGTTCGTATGAAACTCACGACGGGCTGTGAGAGACCACGATAGATGCATCCGAGTTGTATCCAAACCTAAACCCATAGCTTGAACATGCAACATAGGCTTTGAAAGCTCTACAGAAAATTCCAGCCCCCACTGAGATCATGGAAGGCTTATCCTTTCCAAAATGTGCGTTTGAGTTATACCCAGCCCCACATCGAGACTCATGGGATTTCCAGTTTCTCCGAAATCATAATAAGCAACCGTAAGGATGCAGAGCTGTTTGGTTTCAGGCAGGTTTTAGGGTTTCTGGTTAACGGTTTCGAGCTTCTGGAGTTTATATAGGGTTTAGAATGCCTAAACCCCTTAAAGGCTATAGACGCTCAACCACTAAGCCCTAGACTCCAAAACTCCGTAACGCCAAGCAATGAATTACACTAAAGCCATGAATTGCACCCTCGGGCCTAGAATCACAATCCCCCAGAAACCGGATCCAATCATGGACCCCTAAACCCTAAACCCTAAACCCTAAACCCTAAACCTTATAGTAAATGGGAGGTTGCCACTGGGCCGAATCTGCAGATGAGGAGCTGCCCTGTTTGACGATGGTTCTCGGGCTTCCAGGTCTTTGCAACCCTGACATGCACACGCCTACCTAGACCCCCGAAGTAGGTAAAATAATGGCCGAGAACCTATAAAAGGCTATTGCTATTATACATACTTTGGGGGTCCAGGTAGGCTTGTTACGATTCCCGACTCGGGGTGTCTGATGGCAAACAGAAGCCGTGATCCGCAGCTGTAGCCCCAAACCCTGAGCAATTCCAGGTTATGACCCCGGTATTTTAGGGTTTACGCCCCCCAGACATTGGATGGTGTACGAACCCGTAATCTTTGTAGGGTGCATGTCGTCCCTCAGGAGGGAACCCTCTAGAGAACCAGTAACTATTATTCAGACCCCTATAAACAAGAACCTTTCCAGCCGTGTGAAGCCCTTCAAAAGACCCTGTAGAAACCCTCCCTACCACCCTAAACTCCGTCACAAAAGAAGCCCCTCTGTTAAACCACAAACTCTCATTTGAGGTCTGTGTTGTTTTGCTTGATGGGTTTAGGTCTCACGGCTGCGATTAGGAATTGAGTTGTTGTTTGTTTTTGTTTGGGTTGCAGGGTTTGGGGTACTGAGGTCCCTGAGAATTTTGCCGGCCGTCCGCAACTTAATGTAGGGGTGTAATTGATTACCCATACTATCCCTTATTTAAAAGGGTTCCTATCCTAAGCTTACTTTAGTATACCCAAAAGGCTTGCTCTAAATTTTGAGGCCTATGTATTATGTATTACCCCTAAACCAAGGCATAGTCGGTGCAGATCTTAAGCCTTGCATGGGTCTACTTGTTGTGATCTTCTAAAGAAGGCCATTTGTAAACGCCCTTTCCTTCAGAGCCGAACCCTAAACCCCTGAATCCCGAAACCCTAAGCCCCCAGCCCTAGTAAGCCATTTGTAAACGCCGCTTCAGAGCCCTACATTGCTACATTGCAGGAGAACTCTACAGAGCCCCAGTAGGCCAGGCAACTACAAAACCTAAGCCCCTAGCGCCTAACCCCTAAACCTGAACCCTAGACCCTTACACCCCTGTATCGCAGGGCCATCGCAGTTGCAGCTACACCTGGCGACTCCGCTTCTTCGTCCAAGCTTAGTTTACAATATAGGGGCTTTAATATTTACCAATACTACTGTGGAGGTTCCTTATCATAATTAGAGTATCATGGGCCCCAAAACTCTATTCTATGAAGGCCCCTATACTATATAGTACCCTTATAGTATCCCTGATAGATCCCCTTTTAAGGAACCCTTGAAAGGAACCCCCAAACCCTGTTCTAGTTTTGAGGCCCCTCGATGATGAGGTTTAAGGTTCGGGATTTCGGGTTTAAGCGTTTTGGTTTAGGGGTTTCGCTTTGGGGGTTTGAGGGTTCAGGGTTTGGGGTTTTAGGGCTTTAGGTTTGGAGGGGTGTAGGTTTGGTGGGTGTTTCCGGGTTTAGGGTCGCGTACGCACGAAAGCATGGGGTTTAGCGGGTTAAACTGTATCCTATAACCGAAACCCGACCTTGTGCCTTGGTGCTGCCCTAAACCCTAAACCCTAAAACCCTAAAACCCTAAAACCCTAAAACCCTAAAACCCAAAAACCCTAAACCCTAAACCCTAAACCCTAAAACCCTAAAACCCTAAACCCTAAACCCTAAAACCCTAAAACCCTAAAACCCTAAAACCCTAAACCCTAAACCCTAAACCCTAAACCCTAAAACCCTAAACCCTAAACCCTAAAACCCTAAAACCCTAAAACCCGAAAACCCTAAACCCTAAACCCTAAAACCCTAAACCCTAAAACCCTAAAACCCTAAACCCTAAACCCTAAAACCCTAAAACCCTAAAACCCTAAAACCCTAAACCCTAAACCCTAAACCCTAAACCCTAAAACCCTAAACCCTAAACCCTAAAACCCTAAAACCCTAAAACCCGAAAACCCTAAACCCTAAACCCTAAAACCCTAAACCCTAAAACCCTAAAACCCTAAACTCTAAACCCTAAAACCCTAAAACCCTAAAACCCTAAAACCCTAAACCCTAAACCCTAAACCCTAAACCCTAAAACCCTAAACCCTAAACCCCCCTAAACCCTTAGGTGGGGTCTCGAAGGGCAGGAGGGTCTCTTTAAGCTTCACCGATGTCCGGCAGCCGACATCGGCAAGAAAATTGGAAACCCAACCCTACAGTCTTCTAGGTAGGCCCTCCAGGGTTTAGAGTTTAGAGTTTATGGTTTAGGATTACATTTTCCCTTTTGGGCCCAAGAGGATCTTGTTTACGAATATGTTTCAGAGGCTTTGAGGGGCCAACCTAGTCTTGACCAGCTTCGTGCACTGTGAGGATTCTTTTTCTGGCGGTATACAGAGTTTAGGGCTTAGTCCTGCAGTGTCTTACTGTACATTCTGGGTTCAGGGTTGAGGGTGTCGCGTGATAGCACCGTTGTAGATTTCCGATGATGTACCCTGACTAAACAATGCTCCTTAGATATCACATGGCCGGAACCCTACATTCCTATATACTACTATAGACCCCAATAGAACCCTCAAAGGAACCCAGTTTTGCTGAGGAATCCACAGCGGCAGACACCTCTCCAATCGCGGAGGAGCAGGCGGGTTTCAGGATTTAACGTCCTGCTTCAGTGAGTCAATATACCAAGCTTAGGCTTTAGGGTGCTTAGACTGTTGGAGTCTTAAGGCTACAGGGCTTTAGCGCAGCTGCAGGGGTTTTGTTCAGGGCTTTGGGCTGTCCGGGCTTTGTTAGTGTTGTCGGCGCTTGGTTGGGTGTTTGTCACGGTGTGTGAAGGGCTTTTGTAAGGGCTTCGTCAACCTGGGGTTCAGGGTTTTGGGTTCACGGTTCAATGTAGATGCCTAATTGCTACTAGTAAGTGCCTGCAGATGTTCCTTCTACAAAAGTGCAGGTGGTTTGTCTTTTTTTCACGTATTCAAGGGCAAGATGGATAAGATCTGGTCTTGGTCGTGTCCTTTGTGAATGGCAGTGTCGATGTTGGGACTCAGAACTTTGGCTATCTAGAGATGGACAGCCTGTCTCACAGACTTCGGAGGACTTGCAGGAGGCTGCCATTTGTTGCGCCGATCCTTGGGGAATGGCTTGGTCTAAGGTTGCAGCTGAAGCCAACTGCCCGCTGGATGCCATTGGAGACACGGGCAGGCCACTCTTGAGGCTTCCTTTGCACCGTGGTGGGTGGTCGACAGAACCACGTGTGACCAAAGGATGCGCGCAAGTGGCTGAGGGCAATGATCACCAAGTTGTCAGCGCCGTTAGTATAATGGACCCGAAACCTCTATGAAAATTGCTAAGGCCCCATGATACCTTCACAGCTGTAGAGCTTGAGGTGCCAGGTGCAGGATCTAAGATGCGATCCTGTAAAGATTCCCTGAGGTTCTTGATCCTAAATTATGAGGACCCTACAAGCAAGTAAGTTTGGTAGGTTCAGGGATTCCTTTCAACAAGAGGGTATGGAAATTTAACCTTCACAGCTTCCGCAAAGTCCGACATCCTGAAGCTCAAACCCTGAACCCTAACCTTCCCGAAAGCGCCAGGCCCTGAACCCAAACCTTTGTATCCTAAACCCAAATCGCTACACGGCGCACTGTAGAATCCTTATGGAACCCTTCTAGAAGCCCCCACACCCTAAGCCGTAAGCCCTTAAACCCTGAACCCTCAAGCAAACCATCTTATTGAATGCTTGCCGAGACCTTACAGAACCCAAGCCCTAAACACTGAAACCAAAACCCCCAAACCAACCCTAGGGGGCCGTCTCCTCATGCCGCCCTTAAGTGCCCCCTAAAGCCACCTTTCAAGGCCCCCCCTAAGCCCCCTTACTTACCTTTGGTTAGTAGATAAATGGAGCAATCATAAGCTACTATTACTACCATTCTTCCATTCCCTACTAACCTAAACTCTAAACCCTAAACCCTAAATCCTAAACCCTCAACCCTAAATCCTAAACCCCAAACCCTAAATCCTAAACCCTAAACCCTAAATCCTATACCCTAAATCCTAAACCCTCAACCCCAAAAGGTAAGCTTCACGCCCCCTTTAAGCTGAAGGCCGAAGAAGCAGAGCCACGGCCTGAGCTCGGTCGTGTCGGGTTTTGGGGTTCCGGCTTTAGGACAGGCTCACAGGGCTTTGGGGTTTAGGGTTTAAGGTTTAGGGTTTAGGGATTATAGGTAGTTTAGGGTTCCGGCTTTAGGACAGGCTCATAGGGCTTTGGGGTTTAGAGTTTTTAGGGCTCAGAGGGCTTTGGGGTTTAGGGATTATAGGTATTTTGGGGTTTGGGGCTTGTAGGGTTTGGGGGTTTAGGGCTTGTAGGGTTTTGGGTTTAGGGCTCACAGAGCTTTGGGGTTTAGAGTTTAGGGCTCAGAGGGCTTTGGGGTTAAGGGGTTTAGGGCTCAGAGGGCTTTGGGGTTTAGGGTTTAGGGCTTGTAGGGTTTGGGTTTTTGTTGGCTTGAAGGTTTAGGGGCGTTGTATTGCACAGTGTGTTCATAGTCAGCATTGGTATGTCAGAAGGTTTTCTGTGACGGTATTTGTCAAAGCACCATCATTGGGAGCGGCTTAAACCCGCGAGACAATTCTTCAACTTTTTTGTTGTGGAATTTTCGAATACATGTGTATATGTCCAAACCCTAGCCCTAAGACCTTACTTAGGCTTTAAGCCCTGCAACATTACGTTTCTCAATTCTTGTTCTGAGGCCTTCTCAGGATGTCCCCGTGGAGGCACAGAGGGATCTGCAATGTCAGATTGGGGCTCAGCCGAGGGTCTCATGTCTTAAGGCTTTTGCACCCGATTACTTTGTCACTGTTGGGTAACATTTTACATTTTTGTGGGTACTTAAACCCAATAAGGAATAAAAATGTACATTTTTAATCCTATCCCAACAATGAACTAGATTACCATGGACAACAGGCTTGTGACAGCAAGTACCCGAGCACTTAGGGTTCAATCAAGGGTCGTGCTCTTCAGTAGGTTTGGGGTTTCAACTAATTATACACACTGGATCTCTACACACACCCGGCTACCGCCACCGGCAGCACCACCGCCACCAACACCACCACCGCCACTGCAACGAAGAGTATCACCATCAAAACCACCATCTCAGTGATTGCTATCGTTATCACGATCAGAAGTTTCAACAGCAATGAACCATTGGCACAGTCATCCCGATCATCATTCAATTTCCTCCTCCTCCCGCTCACCATCATCTCGGGCAGCAGCCGTTGTGTATCCAAAGTGTTCGTCACTTGTTAGGGACATCTTGCTGCTGCTGCTGCTGCTGCTGCTGCTGCTGCTGCTGCTGCTGCTGCTGCTGCTGCTGCTGCTGCTGCTACCATGACCACTATCACCGCGAGTTTTTTCTCTGATGCGCTACACTTGGCGCTGCTGCTGCTGCTGCTGCTGCTGCTGCTGCTGCGGTGCCAGTCCCCGTACCACTGGCACTGCTAGTACAGGAAGCTGAACTCCACGAACATGAACAATGTCGACTGTTGATGCACATAAGTTCGAACTGTGTTGATCATAGTACACCCTAGCTACTAACCGGAGTATGTACTATGGAGACTGTAAGAAAACAGTATGTTTATTCCGTACTACGGAGAGTGCCGGATTAGCTAAACAACATGTAACATGAGGTTTCAGACTGCATTGTTCGATTCGCCAATGCTCGCCACAACGAAAGATGGCTGCATTCATCGCATGCGTGTGCTTGGGTATGTGTCCGGGTACTGTATTCGTCTGTTAGCTGCTGAACCCACTCCCTCTGACAGAGCATCAGCCTACACCGTAAAACCTGAATCCCTTATCGCTCCCCGAAACCCTGAACTCTAAAATCCGAAAACTCTAAGCCAACATTTAAAAAACAAAAGCACCAACTTTAAAGCCGCTGAACCTTAAGACCCTTACCCTGCGCCTTACAAAACATACCTAACCCTTGATGCACAGGAAGCTGCTGTCGGCGAAGAGCAGGAGCGCGATCCAAGGGTCATAAGCCAACGTAGGTGCCTCGATGTTCTTTAGACTTTAGAGAGTTTAGGGTTTGGGGATGCTTAGGGTGCTGGGGTTTGGGGTGCTTCGGGTTTAGGGTAGGTGTTTATAGGGTTTAGGGGTGGAGTTTAGGATGCATGGTGACGAGTTTAGGGTGCCATGCCGAGTATCCTGGTACTGTTCCTGAAGGTTCACTGTGTAGATTGGCACTACATGTTACGCGTCTTTTTTGCTCGATATATACCTCAGAAACCGTATTCCAAATCATTAGAACCCCTGTGTTGCCCGAAACCCAGACTGCCGGGTCTTAATGTATAGGGAATCCCAGCACTATTCGGCCTTAATCCGGTTTCCAACTTTATGGGGTTTACTGTAAAGTAGGACTAATCCTGCATTACCCATAATAATGGAATATACCATAATTCCCGTAGTCTAGGCTCATTAAGGCTTTATATGGGGTTTACAGTAGTTCCCGACTTCCCCAAATTCCGCTGCTTCCAGGACTTTCTGGCCCAAATCATCGAAGCAATGAGCAGAAGTCAAGGGGAGGCCAGGGCGTCGTTGCTGGGTTTAGGGTTTACTTAGAGGATCATGGGACTTAGTAAGTAGGTAATAAATGGGTTATAAGTCCCCTAAGTGGGGTTGTCCTAATTATATCCTACTTATAACCTTACTTACTAAATCCCATGATCCTCTAAGTAGGGGTTCCTTTAAAGGGTTCCTTAAAAGGGGATCTACACGGGTACTATATAGTATAGGGGCCTCAATACTTAGAACAGGGTTTTGGGGCCCATGATACTATAATCATAATAAGGAACGCCCAAAATAGTAAAGGTAAGGGCGTCGGTTTTGGGGTGTAGGATTTAGGTTTCAGCGTTTAGGGTTCAGGGTTTGCGGTAGGATGCGTCGGCTGCTGCCCTTATTCGCTTTTTTAGGGTTCAGGTTCACTTAAAATCGCCTTAATCAAAAAGGGCACCCTTTTTTATGTCGAGGTTGCTCTTAAGTCTAGTAAACCAGTGGGAGGATTCAAGGAAAGGTTTTGCAGACATGGCATACGGGATCAGTCAGGAAGAACTATCTGGTTCCGTAGGAGTGTCGGTAAGTGCGTGTGTGCATGTGTATCTCTCCCTCTCTCTATATAAATAAATAAATAAGTAGATATATATATATATATATATATACACACATACAAACGCATAAACAAACAAACAACCAGGTAAATGGACACACCTACATATGTGTAGCTATAACCGATCGTTTAAAACGGGCTGTTGGGACACTTACCTATCCAAAGCTCGGAAGCATGGCCTAGCTCTGACATCCTCTTGGCTAGTGAACGGGGGAACTTTAAACTTTTTGGCCTCATATACGAGCTATATCTTAGAAAGCTTGTACTTTTTTGGGCCCGTCTGTTGAAGAAGAGAGTCCTGAATGCCAAAACCCACCTTGACACCCCCCAAAACTCAAAGTTGAGATCTCTTCGTAGTAGCTGAGTGGATATGCACTTTACACGTTTTGGGATACAAATACCCACTATAAACCTGACAGTGTACACTTTTTGGGGCTTATGAACTCAGCAACTAAGTCTAAGCGTTTTTTTCCTAGCATCTTCAAAGCAACACCCGAAATATTCTACGGACCAAGGAGGTCTCAGAGGAAGCTTCATGATCCTAGCTTACCACAGTAAAGGTCAGCCCACGAGCCCTAAAACCTTTGTTGAACCAACGCGCCCTAAACCCTAAAAGCTCTAGACCCTAAACCCTAAACCCTAAAAGCTCTAGACCCTAAGCCCTAAACCCTAAAATCTCTAGACCCTAGACCCTAAAAGCTCTAGGCCCTAAGCCCTAAAAGCTCTAGATCCTCAACCCTAAACCCTAAAATCTCTAGACCCTAGACCCTAAAATCTCTAGACCCTAGACCCTAAAAGCTCTAGGCCCTAAGCCCTAAAAGCTCTAGGCCCTAAGCCCTAAAAGCTCTAGACCCTCAGCCCTAAACCCCAAAAGCTCTAGACCTTAGGCCCTAATCGAACCTGAAGGCTCCAAGCCGTGATGTCAGCCAAATTAGGGGGTACCTTAGTTTGGAGTCCTTATAATAAGGACCCCTACTATTTAGGGTACTAAATTAGGATCCCCTATTTTCGGAAACCCCCCCATGTCAGGTGATGGTCCCCAGGTGCATTGTCGAACCGCCGCAGGAGCTTACTGAGGCCGTGAGCAAAATCAGATGCGGGGTTTCGGGGGTTTAGGGTTTAGGGGCTTTGGGGGCTTTGGGGGCTTTGGGTTTAAGGTTTAGGGTTCTGGGGGTTTAGGGTTTAGGGGGTTTAGGGTTTAGGGGCTTTGGGGGCTTTGGGGGCTTTGGGTTTAAGGTTTAGGGTTCTGGGGGTTTAGGGGTTTAGGGATTTTGGGGTTTCGGGGTTTAGGGGCTTTGGGGGCTTTGGGTTTAAGGTTTAGGGTTCTGGTGGTTTAGGGGTTTAGGGATTTTGGGGTTTCGGGGTTTAGGGGCTTTGGGGGCTTTGGGTTTAAGGTTTAGGGTTCTGGGGGTTTAGGGGTTTAGGGATTTTGGGGTTTCGGGGTTTAGGGGCTTTGGGGGCTTTGGGTTGAAGGTTTAGGGTTCTGGGGGTTTAGGGGTTTAGGGATTTTGGGGTTTCGGGGTTTAGGGGCTTTGGGGGCTTTGGGTTTAAGGTTTAGGGTTCTGGGGGTTTAGGGGTTTAGGGATTTTGGGGTTTCGGGGTTTAGGGGCTTTGGGGGTTTGGGTTTAAGGTTTAGGGTTCTGGGGGTTTAGGGGTTTAGGGATTTTGGGGTTTCGGGGTTTAGGGGCTTTGGGGGCTTTGGGTTTAAGGTTTAGGGTTCTGGGGGTTTAGGGGTTTAGGGATTTTGGGGTTTCGGGGTTTAGGGGCTTTGGGGGCTTTGGGTTAAGGTTTAGGGTTCTGGGGGTTTAGGGGTTTAGGGATTTTGGGGTTTCGGGGTTTAGGGGCTTTGGGGGCTTTGGGTTTAAGGTTTAGGGTTCTGGGGGTTTAGGGGTTTAGGGATTTTGGGGTTTCGGGGTTTAGGGGCTTTGGGGGCTTTGGGTTTAAGGTTTAGGGTTCTGGGGGTTTAGGGGTTTAGGGATTTTGGGGTTTCGGGGTTTAGGGGCTTTGGGGGCTTTGGGTTTAAGGTTTAGGGTTCTGGGGGTTTAGGGGTTTAGGGATTTTGGGGTTTCGGGGTTTAGGGGCTTTGGGGGCTTTGGGTTTAAGGTTTAGGGTTCTGGGGGTTTAGGGGTTTAGGGATTTTGGGGTTTCGGGGTTTAGGGGCTTTGGGGGCTTTGGGGGCTTTGGGTTTAAGGTTTAGGGTTCTGGGGGTTTAGGGGTTTAGGGATTTTGGGGTTTCGGGGTTTAGGGGCTTTGGGGGCTTTGGGTTTAAGGTTTAGGGTTCTGGTGGTTTAGGGGTTTAGGGATTTTGGGGTTTCGGGGTTTAGGGGCTTTGGGGGCTTTGGGTTTAAGGTTTAGGGTTCTGGGGGTTTAGGGGTTTAGGGATTTTGGGGTTTCGGGGTTTAGGGGCTTTGGGGGCTTTGGGTTTAAGGTTTAGGGTTCTGGGGGTTTAGGGGTTTAGGGATTTTGGGGTTTCGGGGTTTAGGGGCTTTGGGGGCTTTGGGGGCTTTGGGTTTAAGGTTTAGGGTTCTGGGGGTTTAGGGGTTTAGGGATTTTGGGGTTTCGGGATTTAGGTGTTTATGGGTTCAGGTTATAAGGTTTGGGGTTTTAGGAGTTTAGGGATTTTGGGTTTAGTTAGGATTTCTTATTGGTCGGCGCTGTAAGGTTGTCTGTTTAAGGCTTAGTGTGTGTGTGTGTGTCAATTTGTTGGCGTGCTTGTCTCTACAGGGCATATCTATGTTTGGTCGGTTGTTTTTGTGTATGGCTTTAGGGTTTGTTGTTGCTGCTGCTGCTGCCTGTTGGGTTACAGGGCCTCAAGGTTTTGACCACTTTCGAGATTTCTGAGGATTTCAGAGGTTTTGCCAGCCCCCACTCAGTAATAGTCATAGTTGAATAATATTCGTAATATAGATATACTAGGACCTTAATAGCAGCCCTATTATAGACTCTCACTGTATGGGGGCAGTACGTAAGGTTTCGGCTATGGGGCCTTTCACCGTCCAAGGAGTTTTCAGAATCCCCGCCAGACCCTCAGACCCACGGGTTTTGGACTTTGCAGAAGCCGGAAAGGTTGTTATCCTCATGGCGGCCCCTAAGGAACAGTATAAGGATTGCTAGCACGAATCATACTTAACCCATGTTCCAATGGGTTGGACTGTAGTTGGCTCGAGTTTGCGACCCGGGACCCTCATTTCCACGATCTTTTATCTCTCAAATCCTATGAGTCAGTGAGCAGTGTCCTCCATGGGGACACAATCTAGAAGCCTGCATGATTTTTACCAGGTCTATTTCTCACGGTCCCCCATTCTCGCCGATATGGTTCCCCGTCAAAACCATGTTCTAATCATCCTCCTCGCTGCTTGGTTTCCTCCCCGAGGCACCTCAAGGGGACGTCGGCGCTTGCTGCCCCAGCCTGGGGGAGGAAGAGGCCATGCCTTCACTGACGTGTTGCATGTTACCGCTGTGAAGTACAAGCTGGTGATGATGATCATGATGATCAACATGCTGGAGACGGCGACGATGATGGTCATCATTGTGATGATGATGATGACGATGATGATGACTATGGTGACGGCGATGCCCATGATAATGCTGCCGATGATGCATATGATGATGTTGGTGTTGAAGTTTCGATGATGTCCGTCACACGAAGAATGACAATGATGACGACTATGATGACATTGATTATGGTGACGGTGTTGGTGATGGCGACTGTGGTGGTGCTGTTGACGGTGATGGCCATGGTACTGGCAAGGCTGGTGGTGGTTGGTGGCGGTGGTGGTGGTGCTGCTGCTGCGGCTTCCTGCAGCTGCTTCCGCAGGGATGGTCGGGGTAGTAGTGGTGTGCCCTGCTTGGAGGTTGATGGGTATTTTATTGCAAGGGTTATAAGTAAGTCTACTTATAACCCTCATTAGGGGACTTATAACCCGACTTACAACTACCCATGAACCTCCAAGTAGGCCCTAAACCCTCTACGTACCCTTAAGGAATCGTTATAGATCCCTGTAAAGGGACCCTGAACCTGCGAGTTGGCGGGTGCTTTGTATCCTGGCCATACTTGTCCAAGTGCAGGATGACCGGGACCTAGACTAGGCCCTTATTCCCTGATTTTAGGGTTCAGGTTCCCTTATAAGCGCCTTTTAGACCAAAGAGGGCACCCTTTTTGTCTCTAGGTTACTCTTGGGTCTAGATGAAGGGTTCGGTTTGAGGGATCTATGGAATGGTTGTGCAGGGTCCAGAGCCTAAGGCCTAACAAGTGGGCCTCAACAAGCTTTGGGGTTCCTCAATATAATTATAGTAGAACGGGCCCCCAAACCGTTTTCCAATCATTAAGGCCCCTATAGTAGCTCTTGGAGGCGGTTCTGAATTCTTCAGCATTTTCGGATACAGGGTGCACAACGTCGACAATGTTGCAGGATTGCAAGACAGCCAAGAAGTATATACAATCCGGAAAAGCACAAACACACACACACACACACCGCGAATCCCGGACAAGTCGCATATGTGCTTGCTGTTAATTGCCTTGGGGCCGGGAGGTCTGTGTGTGTGTGTGTGTGTGTGTAAAAGTATATATCTATATATGTATGTATGTAGACAGAAACACACATATACATATGTATATATATATACATATACATATATACATATATTTATATATATATATATATATATGTATATATTTACACGCATACACATATATCCATCCATCCATCCGTCCATCCATTCATCGGTCTATCTATGACGATGCAATAGTCGCAAGGTTTGCCTTTTTGAGACCACACCCGACACTCCAAGCCCAAAACACACTAAGACGGACCCACGGCTTCTCAGCGGCCTTTCAGGTTCCAAGCTGTGAGATGCTTGATGCGCCATCCTGAGTCCGATTCGCTTGGTTTAGGGAGAAAAAAGGGCTTCAGGCTTTAGGGGTTTAGGGGTTTGAGGTTTACGGTTTAGGGGTTCAGGCCTTCGGGGTGTAGGCTTCAGGGTTTAGTTGTTTAAGGTTTAAGGGTTTAGGGGTTTAGGGTTGAGGCCTCCTCTGGGGCGTCTTCAGCACGGCGAATCCTTCCACTGTTGAAAGTCCTTACAGGGAACTCCAGACAGTTGGAATATGGTTTCATGGTAGGATACCCTATAATTTACCATAGAAGGGCTAGGATAATCATATTCCAACTTTCTGGCTTTTACCTTAGTGCGAAAGCATGCATTTGAGCCCGAGGCCGAAGTCACAACGGACTTAAGTACTGTAGGAACCTGGGTTCCTTTAAAGGGGTCTATAAGATTTAGAAAACTTTGGCGTTTATTTGGGGTTCCCTAGATGAATCCTACTATTTTGGGTTACAGGCCCCGGGTTTCTGAATGAGGTTCCTACACTAAGGATGTGCAAAGCTTCATGCATCTTCAACTCCCCTTCAGTGCCTGCATGATTTTCACTCAGACGCCTGCTGTCATCGTGCGCGATGTCGCCATGTTTGTAAACTTCAACGTCATCGGCTTTCATGAGTGGTTATTGATGACGTGCTATCGTCACTTGTTAGGTGGAGAGCCTAAGTCCCACTGCTTGCAAGAATGTATGCGTGCACGTGCAAGAAAACAGTGCTGCTATGCAACCGCCTGCACGCGACGAAATTGTCGACGTGAACAACCACCGCCAAGGCCGCCGTGACCGCCACCAGCAGCACGACCGCCACTCACAGCAGAACCACCACCGCCCACCACCACCACCATCAGCCCTGGTTTCGGGCTCCGATTTGGGAAGATCGTTGCTGCATCGTTTCTCTCGCAGATTCTGGATTGCTCCCTATATCAATATACAATAGTATACCCTAAAACCCTAAAAGCCTTTTAAACCTCTAAGCCCTAAACCTAAAGGATATGTGCCCCGACGCCTCACTCTAATCATTGATGCTTGCAGTTGGGTCTCCTTCCGCATATAGTATTTACGTAAGCCTCGAAGGATGCTTATTAGGACTAGGGTAATGGGCCCAAAACCCTATTCTAATAATCAAGGCACCTATTTTATTAGGAACCTCTTTACGGCCGAAGTACATACCGTTCTTTCAGCTTTAGGGTTGTGAGGCAGCTGATTACGGCGGTGCTCGCCAACGATTGGCCTCACAGTCCACAGAGGCTGCGCTTCGGGTTTAGGGTTGGGGGTTTGGGGTTTGGCACAGTAACTTCGGCTTTAGGGGTTGGGGCTTAGTTAGAGTTTAAATAGCGGGAGTTCGTGTCTTTTCAGGACAGAGACAGGCAAGTCCTATACCTCCGCGAAGTACACCCTTGCCTCCTCAAACCTTCAAGCTTTCTACAACAAAAACAGGCAAGTCCTTTCTGTAGGCCTGTTGGCCTTCAACCCTGAATAATTCTTGAAGCCTGTTTATCTCAACCACGTCTCGGAGTTGTAACTTAACGCCCGCATGCCCTTTGATTTTCGTGTTCTTGGTGACACAAAATTCGTCAACGGGGTCCTTACCGCCCAATGTCCTGTGCTGCCCAAGCTTGAAAAGGTTTGGCCGATGATCTCTTGCTGGCCTTTAGAGCTGTCGCGGATTGCTGCATGTGGCTCAGGGCCTGTACAATCCGCCATCCCTGGCTGTGCCTTCGATGATCATGCTTGCATGCCGGAGATTGGGCGACTGGCATTGGCTTGAACCCTTCGCGACAGTCTCGACAGACCTGCACCTGCATTCAGTCATGCTGGGGTTTCCCGGTGAATGGCCACAAGCCACATACGCGCAGGCGGTTTGGCTTAAGCTTCGAACCCTAAGCAGGTAGAAAGGAGCTTGCGCATAGCTGTTCGCATCCACCCATGAGCCTTCAAATCAGGCTACTCTGAAGCTTTACGGTACGTAATTTGTCGTGTTTACTTTGTGCTGCCGTCCGGGGCAGGGCTCTGAACAAATACGAAGAAGAGACACATTTGTGTCTCTGCACTGAACAACCACAGCCCGCACGCTCAAACCCCAAAGCCCGAACCCCAAAACCTCTAATACAGGAGTCGGAATGCCGTTGGGCGGGCTTCTTTACAGATTTTTAGTGATATAGTCCAAAGCCTATTGCAGCTATTAAGGCCCCTCTACTAAGTTCCCTCCCTCAACCACCTGAAAGCTTCCATGGCAGGGTTTAAAGTTCAAGGTCTCGGCCCTAAGCCCTATGTAACCCTTAAACCTAACTTAGGATTGAGGACTTAGAAGCCCTATATAACCCCTAAACCCTAAACCCTAAACCCTAAACCCTAAACCCTAAACCCTAAACCCTAAACCCTAAACCTATATAACCCTTCTAAACTCTAACTTAGGGTTGAAGGCTGCAAGTTCAAGGTTGTGGTTCTAAGGTCTACCTAACCCTTATAAGCCTAACTTAAGGTTGAGGAAATAGAAGCCCTACATGGCCCTTATGAACCTAACTTCGGTTTTGGAACGTATTTCTTAAAGTCTCATGCCAGGAGGAGCCAGAGTGCGAAGACCATGAGGCTGCCCAGCTCGGAACTACTTAGAGGATCATAGGACTTAGTGAGTAGGTTATAATTGGGGTTATAAGTCCCCTAAGTGGGGTTATCCTAATTATATCCTACTTATAACCTTACTTGCTAAGTCCCAGGAGCCTTCAAGTAGCCGGGACCCTCCCGATCGCTCCAACGAGCTTCGCAAGGTATCACCTTCGTATCGTATAAGCAAACGGCAAGGTATCCGACCTATATCTTCGTGAATAGAATCCCAAGGTTTGGGGTCAGTATGGCTTTGCAGACTTTCATGTCGAAGGTTTCCTGTTCAAGCTGTGCTAGCCAGAACGTTCCCCTTAGGCAGCGGAGCAAGCCGGTCGCTCTTAGCGCCATTGAGTCAACATGATACTTCCCCAATAGCTTGCAGCAAGAGAAGATCCTAACATAGAAGTTCTCCAATAGTTTGCTGCAAACTAAGACCCAATAGGGGCTAGGTGACTAGCCCAATAGCTTGCAACAGAAGAAGAAATGAAAGTTTCCCGACAGCCTGCTGCGAAAGAAGACCATACATATGGAACTCATAAAGCTTGCTGCAAAAGGAGATCCTACAAATGGGACTTCCCCAAAACCCTGCTGCTCAAGAAGAGCCTTTTTTTGGATTTCGCCATTTTCGCCATAGCCTGCTCCACTATAGATGGGGCTTCCACAATAGCTGAAGATTCAGAAGATCCTACAAATGGGATTTCCCCAATAACTTGCTGCAACCAACGACCCCTCGGCCACACCGAGATTTGGCCAGACCTCATGTCTATAAGCCATTCTTGGAGGTTCATGGGTAGTTATAAGGGTTTCAAGTATTGTTACCTTACTTGTAACCCCACTTATAACTACCCATGAGCCTCCAAGTAAAGCCAGCTCTAGGTGGTGTCGGGCCTTTCAAGTCTTTGGGTAGTTGTTTTGGATTTGGAGTGTTTGGACTCGTGAGTATGAAGCGCCCTAATTAAAAAGAAATCCTGCAAAAGAGGAACTCGCAAGGACCATAGGGTATCACTGCCTTAGTTCTACAGATTCGAGAGCTTTTGGATTCTCTGGGTACATGGTAGAAAATAGGTGGGATCCAGAATTACAGTAGGCGTATCACTGACACTGCCGGAATCTGAAACCTACAGACCACTACATTACCCCAAATGCAGACTCTAAATAGTAGGGTTCCCAAAAAACGAGCCCTACTCTGCGACGCTCCCAAGTTCTAAACCCTGAGCCCGTAAATCATAAACACCCGAATTAAACCCGGATGGCACCTGCTGCTCAACGCAGGCTCTGAGCTCGTGCGCACCGTCGCCCAACGTTGTGCCATCTCCAGGCAGCTTTGTAGGTGCTTCATCGTTGTTCTCATCCCGTCATAAATTTGTAGATTTATGGGTGTTTTTCGCCTTAAAAAGCACATCATATGCCACTTAATTAAGCCTGAAACTTAAGCCCTAAAAGCCTTAGCCCTTGAGCCGAAACCCCTAATCCCCGAAAGGCCCCAGGTGCTGAGCCCGAGGTAAGAGTTGTAAGTGCTACCCAAAGGCCCCAAAGTAATTCACTTTTGGGGGTTCATATATAGAACCCTATAAGGTAATCCCAAAAAGGGACTATTTGGGGGCCTATGGGTAAGACCCTCTGTCAAAAGTTGTAAACGCTCTGCCCTAAGCTGACTCCCGAAGCTTCAACCCTATAGGGCTTTTGTTGGGTTTAGCGGTTTCTGGTTTAGGGTTTCTGTAATCCTCCCCACATAGAGATTAGCCTTCAGCTTTCCGAGGAAGCTGGACAACCCCACGAACCCTGAAACTAGACCCTAAGCCCAAGGCCCGAGACTCGAAGCCTCGAAACAGCAGACACTGATGCTCTCAAAAAGTCTGGCAGCGCAACGCTTGCAACAGTCGCATTCATGAGTGCGTACATGTCAAGCGGGTCTCCGAACCTCGGACCACAGCAATGAAGGAGCCTCATTGATCAGCAAGGTTTCTGGAACACTATGTCCTGTGTTTCCTTGTGAGAAACGGCAAAACCTGCCGCCAACTCCTACAAGCCAAACACTGGAGCCGACAAGGCTTTCATAGATGCTTTTGAGACTGCGATCCACAGCCACTTACCTTAGGACAAAAACTAATCAACAACTTGCCTGTAGGAGGCGTTTTCACGAGAGCCTCGCTGTCACCACTAATGACCTGAAGTCTACAGATGAGTGCAGAGACGAGACTGCGCCAGAGAGGGCTGAACGCTTCAATGCTGTTTTGAAAAAGCTGTCGTGGCTTGACATCCGGAACAGGACCGGGCCATCGCACGCTTTCGTCGATCCTTCATATCTTTGTGTGGGAACCCGAATGAAGTCCCAACCCCAAACCCTAAACCCTAACCCTAGGGATCAAAGTAGCCGAAAAGCCTTGTATAGTATGGTCTTTGGGCCCAAAAGCCTAAATATATGAGTCCTCAGATCCCTAGGCCTTCGACAGGGTAGTTGTCAAAATTGAGGTCCCTCTTAGGGTACCCTAAATAATAGGTGCCGTATTATAGTAGGGACCCAAAAAGGGACCATAATTTTGACAACTACCCACATGCTCGAAACCTTATCTCCGCACGCTGTGATCCCCAATCCTTAAACCTTCAATCCTAAACCCTATAATGAAACCCTATAAACCCTGGTTTCATTATATAAATAAAGCCCTAGACCCTAAACCCTAAACCGACCCCTCCAGAACCCCAAAGCCCCTTACAAAGAGCCCGGCTTTGCGGCCATTGTGGAATTAGGTTCCTGAAACCATAAGAAGACTGGTTTCTTGGGACTTAGGCAAGGCCTTTACAAAGAACCCTAAACTTTAAACCTTAAACCCCTAAGCCACAAGCTCCTAACCCAAAAAGAAAGTCGCACAGGAATCCTCGTCGCCTCAGCTGAAGGCACCTTGCTGCGGCCGCCGCAGCTTAGCGGAGGGGGAGGCCCCCCGGGAGAGGGGTCAAAAACAATTTTAAAAGGGATCAAAAAAGATTTAGAAAGAATCAAAAACAAACTTAGCGCTTACGAGGTAATGTGCCTATTTCCTCGCTTGGCAGCCTTCGTCTTCTGGGCTCCTGGCTTCTGTGCTGCCTGGCTCCGCGGTGTTTTCTGGCTTCTGGGCTCGGTTGGCTTTCTGGCTTCTTGGGTTCCTGGCTTCTTGGCTTCCGGGCGGCTTGGCTTCTTGGCTGCTTGGCTTCTTGGCTTCTAGGCTTCCTTGTCGGCTTCTTAGCTTCTTGGCTTCTCGGGTTCTTGGCTTCTTGGCTTTGGGCAGTTTGGCTTCTCGAGTTCTTGGCTTCTGGGCTTCTTCGCTTCTTGGCTTCTGGGCTTCCAGATAACATGCGTACGATGACTGGGCCTTGTCGGTTTCCTCGCTTTTTGGCCTCGCAAACTCGCGGCCACTCGCGGCTTCTCGACACTGATCAGCGAAGCCTCGCTGCGCGCCTTTGGGCAAGATGACGCTGTCCGTTTGGTTTCGAGGCATGTCTACCGTGGCACAAGACTTGGACCAGGATGGAGATTGTCTAGCTGACGGATCAAAAAAGGATCGACAAGAAAATGTAAAGGCATTAAAGAAGAAAATAAAAAGTGATCAGTTAAAAAAACTCAAAACGATCAAAAGACAAATGCATCTTTATTCAAGGGTACAGTTGGTACAAATATGTATATATATATATATCTATAAGTGTACATGTATGTATATATATATATAAATATATATATATATATATATATATATATAAATATATATATATATATATATATATATATATATATATATATTCGACGCGGAGCTGGCGAGTTCCGAATAACCTGCGCACGCAGCCATGGCCGGCAACTGTTAACGTCGAAGCCCTCCACGCTGTGGCTGTGCCAGGTTGTTGTGGCCTTTTGTGGCCTTGACACCATATATATAGCGTCGCAGAATTCCGACGCTGAACTGTTGGAATCTCATCCTGGCAAATAGAGCTGCTTGACCCACGCAGCCATGGCCAGCAACTCTGTTTACACCAACCGTTCGAACCCTCTACGCGGTCCCAGACTTTCCGGGATTGACACCGTAGTTTCGCACAGTTTCGACGCGGAGATATTGGAATAGCACTTGCCGTTGTTTGCAGCAAATCTCCAATCCCTGGGTTTTTTATCCTTCCTAAATTTTTTTGATCCGTTCAGCTTAAATTTGTTTTTGATCCCTTTTATTTTTTTTTTTGACCCTCCACCCCCCGAAAGCAGCTGGGGGCAGGCTGTAGGGTTATAGGGTTTAGGGTTTAAGGTGGTCACCCTTTAAAAGCTTAGAGTTTTCGGGTGTAGGGTTTTAGGGTTCAAGTAAGGTTTAGGGAGGGGTTTAGGGTTTAGGGGGTAAGGGTTTAGTTTAGGGTTTAAGGGTTAGTGAGGGGTTTAGGGTTACCCCAGCAAGTGGGACATGAGACAAGGTAACGGCGATTGGTGCTGGGATTCTCTTTGACTCCATGCTTTGCCTTCAGGGCATGGGGATACTCATGTAACTTTTGTTCGGCTTCTACTGTACAGCTTCTACAGCATTTACGGCTTGGTTTAGGCAGTTTACCGGTCATCTGTAGTATCCTATATGCCATTGGGTTTGAAAGGTTTTGTTGCTTTGTTCAGAGAGTGTGTAAATCAAAACAGACACGAAAAGATAGCAGTCCAGTGAAGGTGCAGTGTTCCAGCTTTCGGAAGCCGAACCTGGCCCCAACACCCGCCCCGCCCCCGCCCCTAGGATTTAGGCTTCAGGGGATTAGTTAGGGCTCAGTCCTCGTGGGGTTTAGGGGTTAATCAAAGGGGAAAAGGAGGGACCCTTAATGGGGACCCCTACCCTATAATGGGGCTATATAATGGGTATATAGTGGCTATATCATGGGTATGCACCTAGGAGTCCTTATTAAGGGTCCCTCCTTTTACCCTTGGAGTTAAGGGGCTTAGGCTTTTGAGGTCCTTCCGCAAGCCTGCGGGCTGAACCGTGGTGCACTAGCCTCGGTAGCGATAAACACCCTCGGTAGGCCACGGAGAGCGATGAACACCAAGGTCAACAAAACATAGATAGACCTTAAAAGCGTACATGTCTGCAAAAAAAATTGAGGCTGGTTTTTTAAAACTGCACAGACCAGGACATCTCCAATGTCTATGGCTTCGGGGTCCAGATTTAGGCTTCTGGCTTCTTGCAGGTTCGCGTTGTTAAGGGGTGGTGTTCAGGCTGCGAGTTTCAGGGAGACTTCAAGGCTTTAGGGGCATGGAGAATTGAGCCCCGAACCCGAAACCCTGTAAGCCCTATAAACCTCATGAATGAACCCTATAAACCCTATAATCCCGATAAGCCCTCTTAAACCCTAAACCTCTTGGGGCTTGTGCAGGTAACGCCCCCTTGAAGATGGCCAGCAACCTCCGTCACGTGGTCCTGGATGAGGGACGGCTCCGCTCCTGGGCAGCAAAGAGCCCTGAGGCCCTAGGGGTCCATGTGCCCAAACAGGGTTCCTTTAAGGGTTTGTTTCAGGATTAATTAAATACCATACGAGTTCTACAAGGTTCTACAGGGTTTAGGGTTTAAAGGTCCGAATAGTATTTCCACGGGCCTTAAGTAGGCGTTATACAGGTACTTTGGGGCCAAAGTGTGCACTAATGGTCAACATTATTTGAAATTATTTGGGTACATGGACCCTTTGGAGAAGTTAAAGCGGATTGGGGCAGTTTGCTGAAGGAGTATGGGTCTTTGGATCAGGGCCCGGGGTTTAGCATTGAGAGTTACGGGTTCAAGCAGTTTCGAAAGGGGCGGCCCAACACTTCACAACCCCAAGAACCATGGATCTTCAGCCGCGTTTTGGGCTCAGGGGAACCCAATTCTCTGAAACTACGCCCGCAAACGCCCTCAACCCCATAAGCCCTAAACACCCTCAGTCCGAAAGCAGCAGCCACAACGGCTCATTTTCCGAACAAGAAGGAGAAGCTGGGGAGGCACACAGAAGGAGCACGTTGTTTCTGGCCTGGCTCCGCGTCTTTTCTCCTTCAGCTTTTTTACGGAACCCCTGAAGAGGCCTTACAGAGACTCCGGCCAAGGTCCTTAACCAGGCCCGGGCCCGCAGCCCGTAGAGCCCGTATAGGGCCCGTAGCACGGCCCGTGCAAGCCCGTAAGGGCTCTGACCTGATTAAGGGCCTTTCCCGAAACTCCTCGCAACCCTATACCCCAGCCCGCAGAAACTCTTTAAAGTGGGCCGCTACCAGGTCGTGCTTCACGCCTCTTTGCGCGGATGCTCCAAGGCCAGCGCTGCAGTCTACTTGCATGCCCTTTTATAGAGCCCTGATGGTCGTGAATAGCAGCTATGTAGGGTAGACTGACGGGTAGTTGGGCAATTTGTTGTTAAACCTTCAAATTCATGTAACACAAGCTTAAAATCCCAACACCTAAACCCCTAAACCTTCAAACCACTAAAATCCCCAAACACCGGAAAATCTTTAACCAACCTTCAACACCTTAAAACCAAAGGGCGAAAGCCCGAAAGCTAAGCCACGAAGCTTTGCTTGGAGGGTTACAAGTGGGGTCATAAGTCCCCTACATATAAGGGTTCTAAGGGTAGTTACCTCACTACCCATGAACCTCCAAAGTAGACCCTATAAGGCCTTGTAGAATCCCTATAGATGCCTTCAAAGCGGGACCTTTTCAAGAACCCTTATAACTACCCATGAACCTCCAAGTACCTCGCAGGTGAGGCGGTGCCCCGGGCGAGGAGCGACTTCGTTTGGCTTGGGGTTTGGACTCAACATCAAGGACTTTGGGGCTTGGATGTAGACCTTAGGGATTTATATAGGCTTCTTGGGGCTTAGATGTAGAACTTCGGGATGTAAAGTTTCTGGGGTTTAGAGACATAAACCTGATGAGTTTAGGGTTTAAATCCGGATTCAAAGTATAAATTTAGGAGTTTAGGCTTTAAGGGATTAGGGGTTCAGGGGGTGTAGGGGTTGAGGGTTTAGGGTTTAGGAGGGTGTGTTGCACAAGGGTGTTCCAGGGCTCCAGGGCTTTACAGGGTTCCTACGAAGCTTCTACAAAGGTTTAGACAGGTTGTCAGAAAGGTGTTTTCTGCACCGGTTTACCGGAATTGAATTTCGCGTATTTCATCTTGCAGCACCGTTCTAGTCTGGCACCTGTTCCATCGGGTCTTTTGAAGATCTAGATTTGCGCCTGTGAGGCGCCGGCGGTGGCATTCAGCACCTCCACCCAGCGAAGCAAAGAAGGACTGTGGAGTTCGGTAGTTGGTTTTGAGGCCTGTAGTGGAAGGTCGATCTATGATTCGGGGATTTAAGTTAGGTTTCAAGGTCCAGGGTTAAGGGGTTTCGGGGTTAGAAACGTTTGCCGATTTAGGCTTCTAAGCTGTTGGCGCAGTAACCCTACATCCCCAGCTAGCTGTAGCAAGCCACCATCGAAAGCCCCAGGAGAATCGACTTTTTTCGCTTCGTGCGTCGCTGCCGTCCATGCCTGCCATGCCTACCATGCCTGCCATGCCTGCCATGCCTGCCGAGGCCTTGGCAAGTGCTCGGGTTCTCACACCTTCCAAAAAGGAGTATACCTTAATCATATTAGGGATCGTTTTGCAAATATTGAAGTAGATTCCTCAATCAAGGAATCTTGGATATGTCTTCATGTCTTTAGTGAGCGTGTTAAAGTTTAAAGTATATTCCTCAATTAAGGGAGTGTGGAAGGTCTGGGTTGTATGGTCGGAGAGATCCGAGTTTCGGGGCCCCAAGCTCCGAAACTTTGAAGTGCTAAGCGCCAAACCTTGAAAGCCAGAAGGCAATGACCAAGTCTGAGATTCTGTTGGTCATGACTTGAACATGCTATGACCTATATACTACTTGTCGGCAAGGCCGTCATGCGGTTGATGATATACTTCCTGCATTACCTATAATAAGGAAATATACCTGAATTTCCAGAGTCGTTGCTTGTTGCATTGGCCTAAGGCAATGCCCACCCTTCCTTCCATCTCCGTGCCACGGCCGCGGCTCCTGGCGGCCCCGGAAGGTGCCAGTTTTTAGAGCCCCAGAATTCAGAAGGGGGGGGGTTTAGGGTTTATAGGGATTTGTGGTTTCAGGGTTTAGGATTAAGTGCCCTGGAAATTCCAAAACCCCTTAAGTGAGGAATATACCTTAAGCATAAGTAGTGATAATATAAATCCTGCACTACCCATAATAAGGAACATGCCATAATTCCCATAGTTTAGGGCCCTTAAGGTAATGCAGGATTTATATCATCAACAGTAGTGATAATACGAATAGCAACAGGAACCTCAGGCCTAACCAGGTTTGAGAGCCTCTGGGGCCTAACCGGGTCTCTGTGTTTTAATCTTTCGTAGTCTTTAGAGTGCTGGTTAAAGGCAGGGTTTAGGATTTACGAGTTTCAGGGTTCAGGGTGTATGCCAGAGTCAGGGAAAAGGGTATAGGGGTTTGGGGTTTAGGGTTGACTCGTGTAGTGTATCACAGATTTGCGTCCTAAACCCAATGGCCTTACAGGGGACCTTATCATAGAACCCTATAGTATCCTTGGAGGGCTTTGGATGTCTTGTGGCAGACAGGTGTAGACTCGTTTAGTGTTCTAGGTCCGATCACCGGGTGGGCGGTCCTGGAACGAGGAGTCCGGATGATGCTTGGTGAAGGTGAGAATGATTATGGAGCAGCGATGCTCAACGACGACCATGATGTTGGTGAGATGATGACAGTACAATATAATGATAGTGCTAAGTAGTGACTACGATGTTGACAGAGGTAACACTGTAATGTAAGTGACACTTGTGATGACTATCTTCCTCCCTATTACAATCACTTACAATAGGTGCTTGAACAATTAGTAATCTTCTCTCCCCATTCCGAATAGAACGATAATAGAATGTGCCACACAACCCTGCTGCAAGTATCCAGGCCGCTACACCCTGGACCCTCCACCGCAAACCCTAAGCCCGAAACCGCAAACCCTATGTAAATTCTCAAAACTAAACCTCTAAACGCTAAACCCAAACCCTCAGCCCGAAACCGTAAACCCTAAACACTACTGTACCCACAGGCTCCATAGTAGTTCCTTTTTGGGGTTTCATATTTAGGATCCGATGAGGTACGTAATCCCAAAAAGGAACCCCTAAACCCCAAACTTCCCCCTAAACCCGAAACCCTAAAACCCCAAACCCTAAAACCACAAATCCCAAACTTCCCCCTAAACCTTCAACTCGAGACTTAAACCCTAAAGCCCTAAAACCCTAAAAGCCTAAAAGCCTAAAGCCCTAAAGCCCTAAAGCCCTAAAAGCCTAAAAGCTTAAAGCCCTAAACCCCTAAAAGCCTAAAAGCCTAAAGGCCTAAAGCCCTCAACGCCTAAAAGCCTAAAAGCCTAAAGCCCTAAACCCCTAAAAGCCTAAAAGCCTAAAGGCCTAAAGCCCTAAACCCCTAAAAGCCTAAAAGCCTAAAGGCCTAAACCCCTAAAAGCCTAAAAGCCTAAAGGCCTAAAGCCCTAAACCCCTAAAAGCCTAAAAGCCTAAAGGCCTAAACCCCTAAAAGCCTAAAAGCCTAAAGGCCTAAAGCCCTAAACCCCTAAAAGCCTAAAAGCCTAAAGGCCTAAAGCCCTAAACCCCTAAAAGCCTAAAAGCCTAAAGGCCTAAACCCCTAAAAGCCTAAAAGCCTAAAGGCCTAAAGCCCTAAAGCCCCTAAAAGCCTAAAAGCCTAAAGCCTAAAGCCCTAAACCCCTAAAAGCCTAAAAGCCTAAAGGCCTAAAGCCCTAAACCCCTAAAAGCCTAAAAGCCTAAAGGCCTAAACCCCTAAAAGCCTAAAAGCCTAAAGGCCTAAAGCCCTAAACCCCTAAAAGCCTAAAAGCCTAAAGGCCTAAACCCCTAAAAGCCTAAAAGCCTAAAGGCCTAAAGCCCTAAACCCCCCAACCCCAGACTTCCGAGGCGCCGCCGGGCGCCGACCCACTCGGGGGTCTTCGGAGGAGCCTGCACGAGGGCGCCAGGCCAGCTGTTCGAGCGACAACTTAGGGGTACTTAGAAATATTCTTTGCAAGTTTTGGTTATTATAATCCTTAAGAAACAGCTAAAATTACAATTTTTGCTCGGGTTCTAAGTTCAGTATAGCTTTGTTGGCTTCAGAGTTCAGGGTTTAGGGCTCATGGGTTAGGGTTTCAGGGAGAGTTGAGGGTTTAGGGGTTCAGGGCTTAGGGTGTAGGGTTTTAGGGAGGGTTTAGGTTTAGGGTTTAGGGCCGTGGTCTTGGTCCTTTTTGTCGTCGTCGTAGAACTGATATGATAATGATATGGGACAATACTATAACCTTATTAGACTGCGTATTGTATCCGACTATGTTGGATCATGTCTGAGTAGGTTGGAGTAGACGATAAATGGAAGCTTCTCCTGTTCGGATTTCGTAGTTTTCTTCCTATCATGTTGTATTTTTATATCAATTGAATTATATGATGATATGTTATGTGACATTATCTTATATGAGGTTATGGTATACTAAAAGGTTATATCATGTCATCTATACCGTTATGCACTGAACTTGTTATGATATGAGATGATATGGTATGCCACCGTATTGTGCGTAGTATATAACTTTCTGCTGTACATCTGTATACGCACGGTCTTGTACGGTATTATATATATATATATGTACATTTTTGTATATATATATATATATGTTTATATCTATATCTATATATCTATATATCTATATATCTATATATCTATATATCTATATATATATATATATATATATATACGCATACGCGCCACACAAAACCCTGCCTCATCAATATAGCCTTTTACGTTACGCCATTCCCCGTGTCTTGTGGTTTCCGCTTTGTCATTTGTGGCGATTGGCTCAAGAGAAACCATCGCCATCACTGCTGCCTTGCTTTTGCCCGGCCATCGTCTGCCCAAGCTTTAGCAGTCTGCGCCGAAAACTCCAGAAACCCATGCGGGGCTGTCCGAAACCGCTCCAAATAAGCGAATGAGTCTCGAAGCTCCTATACCGACGACATCCTAAACGCACCGGGGCCTAAATCTCACACTGGTCTGACTTGGGAACGGCTCCAAGGATGGTATAAGTTTAGTACCTTCCGCACAGGGAGCAGAAACTTGAATGGACCAGACTCTTGATGTAGGGCCTCAAAGGACAGCTCAGTGCAGCCTTCTGAAACTCCCCGCATCATTGCCATGTCGCTGTTCACGAAGATCATTCGAGGCAAGGGGCTTCTCCCTTATGCTTTGAAGGCTGTGTTTCAAGGTCTCAAGTTTATGGATTTAGCGATATAGCCCCAAGGGTCCAAGTACCCAATAATCATATACTCTCCAAAATTCTAACCGACATAACTACTATCCTAAAACCGAGTACTTGATTATTGGGTCCTCTGGACCCTTGGGCAAAAAATCTAAACTCAAAGCCCTGAGCCCTAGACCCATCTTGGGGGCTTCTGGTTGTCGTGGTTTGGGGACCTCCGAGGTTGAGATTTCGGATGTTTAGGCATCCATGAAGCCTCGGGACTTTCCGTGGGTTTAGGGGGGGTTAAGGTTTGGGGGATTGGGGTCCAGGGTTTAGGTTTTAGAGTTTAGGTGTTTAGGGTATAGGGTTTAGGCTTTATGGGCTTATGGGTTTGGGGTTCAGGGATTGCTGTGTTGTGTTTTTTCACGCCATACACCAAGTTTCACATCGGCAATGAGTTTGATACCAAAATTATTTCGGGTTAAGGGTTTAGGGCATAATGTATAGGGCTCTTCTATGGTAACTCACGCCCAAAGACGGGCTTCTCATTCTAAGTTCAGTTTATCATCATATTATTACTGTACAGTAATATACCACCCCGAACCCATTCTACTTGAAACTATTCGGTCCCCTATACTACGTGCCCAAGCAAGAAAGCTGGACTTTCGACCAAGGCCCCAGTACCCGAACAGTCAGGCAAAGGGTTTAGAGTTTAGGTGTTAGGTTAGGCTTCAAGATTCTGGATACCCAAACGCCTTCAGATAATTTGGGTCCTCGAACTTTTCTGGTGAACCCTAAACCCTAGCCCCGAAACCCCTGAACCGTAAACCTAAACCCTAACCCCTAAACCCCTAAACCCTTCGGTTTCGAGCTGAGCGCCTGCCAGGTGATATACCCTCCTCCAAAGTCGCAGAGGGGGACAGCTGGTGACTGGGATATAGTGGCCTTCAGAACTAGCCCAGAGGGTCCAAGTACCTAAAAAGGGTTTCAGGGCCCAAAATCCATACTCTGAATGGTTTTTGGACCTTGAAACCGTATTATTTGGGTACTTGGACCTTTAGGGTAGACTAGGGCATAACTAGAATGGGGTTTTGGGGTTTCCTTTGAAAGGGCTCCGTAAAAGGGGGTCTATGAGGGATACTATCAGGGCACTATGTAGTATAGGGGCCTTCATAACTAGAATAGGGTCTGGGGTCCCATGTTGCTACAGTTTCAATAAGGAGCCCCCCAAATGGTATACTTGGATGCTTCGGGCACAGCTCCAATGCCCAGGGTCTACGCGGTACTCTGTGGATGCCGACCTTGGATTGTTCTGGGTTCTATGCTGAAATTACAGCTTCATATGGGTGGTTGTCAATATTAGGGTCCCCTTTTGGGTCCTTATTATAATTCGGCACCTAATATTTAGGGAAATTAATTACCCAAAAAGGGACCATAATTTTGATAACCACCCATATTGCAGCCCTTGAACAGGGGTTTTGCTCCCTAGACAAACCTGGTGCTGCCAAGGTACGCTTTCCTCGACATCAACCCGCGCCGCGAGGGGCATACGCTCGTGGTGCCCAAAGAGGCCCTCCTTTTGGGGGGAAAGCTTGCTTGTGGTGCCAGCAGTGCTTACCTTCAACCCAAAGCCTAACGTTGACCTTAGTTCGCGGCACGAGTGCAAGGATACCGACCACACCAAAGTCAGGGTGAGGCTAAGGGAAGATAACAGAGGCTGGCCAACTTGGGAGTGTACAGCGGTTTAGGGTTTGCGAGGAATTCCGGGTGGAGGAGTCAAGGGTTCGGGCTAAACTCCACAAGTTTTGTGAAATAGTTTGGGTGTCCTAAACACACGAACTTCTATGTCCTCAACCAAGAGCATGTGTTTTTTTTAAATCCCTCTGCATTAGAGAGATTCTTATCATGATATAGTTCCCTAAGCCCTGGACCCTAAAGCCTAGAGACTCTTCCAGCAAGCGAGTCGTCGGCTCGCTTGGATTGAGGAGCACATTCCTTCAACCAACTTAAGGCGTCCATAGAGGAGCCATCAAGCTTTAGGGTTTAGGGTATGAGGGTCCATGTACTGATATAGTATGCTCTTTGGATCTGCAACCACGCCCCAGCCAACTACGGCGCTTCACAAATCTCCCAAGACTCTACAAGAACCCTGTAAGAACCCTAAACTCCTAAACCCTCAGCCGCAAACCCTCAAACCCTAAACCCTCAACCCCAAAAACCCTAAACCTCCGTAAGAACATGTAAGAGCCCTCAACCCTAAACCCCTAAACCCCAAACCCCTAAATCCCTGAACCGCTAAAACCTAAACCCCTGCAAGAAGCCTTCTAAACCTCTAGGAAAAGCAGCGCATCGCCGAACTCTCTGCGGCGTCGCGCGGGGCACTGATGGAGGTGGCCTCTTCGGGATGTTTAATCTTGGGGCGTTTTGGGGGGTCCTTATTTATTATAGTTATAGTAAAATGGGCACCAAAACCCTAGTCTAATTATCAAGGCCCCTATATTAGGCTTTAAGGGTTCTTTTGTGGCTCCCGTAGGGCTTCCTTTAGGGGTTTGTCTAAGTCTAGGTGTTTGGCTTATGGTTTCTTGAGGGATTTCTAGGTGTGCGGCTCAGGCTCATTTGTTGGAGTCTTACAGGGGGCGTTTACAAAGTCTGCAAGTTGTTATACGCCCTGAGTTTCCTTTAAGGGTTTAGGGTTCATTGTAAGGCGTTTGCTTGATGGGTTCTGTTCGGGTTGTGCTTTGTGGGTTTGGGGTTTCCGCGCGTTAAGGCTACAGGGTCTCTTTTTCATTTTGGGTCTTAGGGGCTCGGCGAGCATTAGGGATTTGTATATTGCTGTTCTTTTGGGATTGCGTGGTGTGTTTCTAGGATTCTAGGGTGGTTGGTAAGTCGCATACTTGTATAGAGCTCACCGGGATCATTCTAGTCTCTGCGGTTTAGGAATCTGTGTGTGGTTTTGTGGATGTCGAGCTGAGGGTTAAGCCCTTAAGCCTAAACCCCTTAACCCTAAACATCTTACACCCCAAGCCATGCAGCAATAGGCGAATGGGTGAATCCCAAACATCTGCAACCAATTTTAGCCCAGAGACTCCCCCAAACCCCTTAGTTTAGGGCTGTCCCTGAAATTTCAAGAGGAACCCCAATAGGATATCAGGTACAGTATATGGTTTTGAAGCCTCTGGGAAACAGCAAGGCTTGAGCACACGAAAGCCCAAAACCTATAGCAAACTCTCCCGGGAAGGGCTTAAACTCAACCCCCCAACGACCCCTTGCACCAGCTTTTCAAGGAGCCCTTCAAACGTCAAAGAAGCTCCAGGCACTAAAGTCTGTGAACCCTAAACCCCTAAACGCTTAAATCCCAGAGCCCTAAACCTAGTTGCCACCGAAAAAACTGGGAGTTTTCGAAGACAGGGGACCCAAATATAGCACCCTAACTAGTAGGATCGTTATGATTATAAGGACCCCCCCAAAATAAGGTATCCCCAAATCTCGGAAACTCCCAAGTAAGTCCTCAAACCATCCTTTACCTTTAAACACCGGAACCCTAGCATCCTCCCTAAGACTCCATGTGCCCATATAGTAGGTACTTAGGCCTTAAAGGGTCCCTATATAGCCACCTTAAGGCTTAAGCACCTACTAAAGTAAAAGCCAGAAAGTTGGAATATGATTATCCTAAACCCTTTATGGTACATTACAAGGTATCCTACCCTGAAACCATATTCCAACTTTCTGGAGTTCCCTTTATATGGGTGCATGGA